CTTAAGACAGGGTCTCACTATGTAGCTCAGACTGTCTGGAACTTGCTATTTAGACCAGGCTGGCCTCAAACTCACAGAAATCTACCTGCTTCTGCCTCCCAAGTGCTAAGATTAAAGGTGTGTGCCGCTGCCCGTGAATTCAGGCACCTCAGGCCTCAGCCTATATGCTGAGAGTGTACTACCACAGCTGGCTTTGCTTACTTTGTTCTTTTTGGGGGAAAAAATTGTGTGTGTGTGTGTGTGTGTGTGTGTGTGTGTGTGTGTGTGTGTTCTCTCCTTCAGTCATGCAAATCTTGGTGAATTGAACTCAAGTTGTCAGGTTTGGTGGTGGCAAGTGCCACAAGATACCCAAAACCCACTGAGCCCTCCCCCTGGCGCTACTTTATTCTTATAGCCAAGAAAAGTTTCTCTGCTTTGTTTTCAGGACAGGCCAGAGACAGGAAAGGCCATCTGTTCTGGATAGTTTTATTGCAACTTGTCACAAGCCAGAGTCATTTGGGAAGAGGGAAACTCAGCTGAGAAAACGCCCCCACCAGATTGGCCTGTGGTACATTTTCTTCATTGATTATTGGTAGAGGAGTGCCCAGCTCACCACGAGTGGTGCCGCCTCTAGGCTGGTGACCCTGGGAGCTGTTAGGAAGCAGGCTGAGCTTGGTGGTGGTGGCAATGGCACACACCTTTAATCCCAACACTTGGGAGGCAGAAGCAGGTGGATTTCTGTGAGTTTGAGGCCAGCCTGGTCTACAGAGCAAGGTCCAGGATTGTTAGGATTGTAGTCAGAATTGTTACACAGAGAAACTGTCTCGGAGAAAAAAAAAGAAAAGAAAAGAAAGAAAAGAAAGCAGGCTGAGCTCAAGGGACAAAGAGATGCCAGTAAGCAGTGCTCCTCTGTGACCTCTGCTTCAGCTCTCTCCAGGTTCTTTCCTTGAGTTCCTGCCCTGACTTCCTTCAATGATAAACTGTGGTGAATAAGTACAAGTGAAATCCACTCTTTCCTCCCCAAGTTGTGCTTTGGTCATGGTGTTTTGAAACCCAAAAGAAGACACCATCTAATGGCCTTGTATTTGTCTTACTTAATTTTTATGTTTGTTTGTATATATTTATTTGTTCATTATTGTCCATCCCTCCCTGTTCCCTCTCCAACAGAAAATCACCTTGAGGATACAGGTTTTGTATGTCTACTGTTTAATCATCAGCAACAGACAGTGCCTCGTACTGAATTATGAACCATGTTGACCACTGGGCTAACCTAGGTTAATGTTTATGTAACAACAGAAGGAAGAAGCCCCGGTTTCAGTTCCAAGAATTGGGGGATAGGCAAGCATGCCTCCACTTTCCTGACTGGGATGAGTGATATCTGTCTCTGCTTCTGTTTGTTCCCTCATTTGTCACAAACATTTTATTACACAGCTGCTCTGTGCCTGACACCATACTGGGGCTATCTGATGCAGTATGAACAATATGGAAATAATACCTCTCTTAAATGAGTTTAAATTCCCGGGAGACAGAAGGCAAGGAGACGGCAATTGTAAAGCACTGTGATCAGTTCTGTAGGTTCACAAGAGAACCACCTAACCCATTATGTGAATGAGATTAAAGAAGGCATTCCTTGATACGGGGATTACAGGCATTTCCAGCTCAGGCAGGGACCATTATGTTAAGATCTCAGAGGTGGCAGGGTGCAGGACTGATACCAACGGTGGCAGACAGAGGAGCTTGGTAACTCAAGATGGCTCACAAGATGGATCTGACTGACTGAGAGGATGTCAAAATCATCAGTGGCTCGGTTCAGACCGAAGAAGCTGCTTTCCATTTCATAACGTGGTATAATGACTTCCCAGAGAAGCGTAGCTAAGATGGAGACACTCACCCATCGCTTTAGGCGTAAATTCTTCCCAGCTGCCTGGAGAGACCGAGGAAGTCCCCCTACAGCTGTGATCAGAATCCTTTTAACCCCGACATTTCCTCTGAGGGGGCCTGAACAAGCCAGTGGCTTCTTCCTTAGAGAGGCCCTTCAGAAATCTAAGCATTTTTTTTTCCCTTAGCCGAATTCACCTCTCTTCTTTCCAGATCTCCCTCAGGCCCGTATCAGAAAGTAATGATTACTTGTTGACGAATGAATCACAGAAGGTGTCGCCTGAAGAGAACATCCCCTAAGCCCATACTCACCGTGTGCTTACAGTGAACGTGGGGGAAAGAAGTAGAGAATCTGAGTTATTCTAAGCCTGACGAAGTTCTCGGTTTATTTTATTATTAGTATCATTTATTTATTTTTAAGAAAATTCCTTTCACTGTTCAGAAGTGACCCTCCCCTTCTCTTCTGAATACGTGTCTCCTCCAAACTACAAGTCCCACAAGGCCCAGCGCCAACGGTCACCATCTTGACACACCTTAGCGCGCATGTCGGCGGGAGAGAGAGCGTGTGGGGAGAAGAAGCCCCGCCTCACTGTAGTTCATTGGCTAAAGGCGCCAGCGGCGGGCTCAGCGGTTGGCTACTGCGCCCGCCCGTCCACCGCGTCGGTCGGGGTCAGAGTGCGCGGAGGTGAGTCGGTGTGTTGTGGACTCGTGGTGCTGGCTGCCGCTGTTGAGGCGGCCTGGAACGGGCTGTGGGGAGCGGGCGGAGCTGGCCCTGCTTCTGCCTGGTCAGCGCCGCAGGCGGCGCGGGCCGTGCCCGCTGCCGTCAACTGCCCCAAGCGCCTGCTGAGGCCGAGGGAGACGTCGGGGCCTGCACCTGGAGAGAGCCTGCCGCGCTGGCCCGGAGGAGGGGGCGTTGCCATGGCGACAGCCTCTCCGGCAGCTGACGGGGGGCGGGGGCGGCCCTGGGAAGGAGGGCTGGTCTCCTGGCCCCCTGCCCCTCCCCTTACGCTCCCTTGGACCTGGATGGGCCCGAGCTGGGGGCAACACCCTGGGGTGGGTGAGATTGAGAGGGGCCCCCCAGCTTGGGCCCTGGTTAAATGCATGCGGGGTGTGGGTCGTGGCGCGCACACTTAATGCAGCCGGGGATACTGGCCCGTGTGCTCACCCTGTGGATGCATGTTCTAACTCTTGGCGAAGGGGGGAGCTGGGGGTGGGGGAGGGGGTGGAGCTGGGCTTTGCAAGATAGAGCGGGTGAGTTGATGAAAGGCCCTGATTTGAGATTACTGAAGAAGAGAGATATATGACCAGAGAAAATAGAAACAGATTAAGGAATTAGTAGATATATAGAGTACCCCCTCTGCATCCCGGCACACGCACACAGCACACACGTTAGCACTTTACTTCCCTGTGAGTTACAAGCCGTGGGTAATAATGATGGCGGACAGAGTGAAGAAAGGGCCTTAACCCGGGTAGCTTTTTATATGCCTTTATTGCAAATGGCCCAGCAACAGGTGTTTTCTTAAAACAAAGAAACCATGACTTGGGTTGAGTTCTTGCAAAATGTCAACTGCTGGATGTTGACCTGGAAGATGCTGGGTATGGGGCCCCTCATCTGGAGATGAGGATTTTGCAATTGTCTCTGGCCATTTTTATGGCATTCATTTGCTAGTGCTTTTCATTGGTTTCCCAGTATAAGGGCAGCAAAACGTGAATCCCTTTGACTAAAGACCATACTCTATTTGACTAGAGTAGGTTGTGATTGGCTGAATGATTTTTGTCTGTAGAGTTTGTACCAGAAACTGGCTTCATCAAATTCAGCTTTATTGTGACTTTATCATGCACCGTAGACCTTGTTTTAGTGGGTTCGTTCTTGGACCTTAAGTATATTATACTTGAATCCCCTACCATTTAAAGGCCAATTTATAAACAGTGACTTGGAGTGTGACTCCACTAATGTGTGCCTGTGATCTTGGTTAGAAACCCACTTGGCTGACTGTCTGCAGGTGCTGAATGGGGGAAGGGAACTGCCGGGAAGTGATTGATAAGGTTTCCTTTATGGATTCTGTGGTGCTTCACTGGAGCTCAGAGCACTTTGGCAACTTAAGCACTCCAAATTAAAAGCTCATTAACAATTCCTGCCCAAAGATCCTGTAAATAATCAGCTAGCTAGGTCTTGGAGCTTGGCTAAGAGCTCTCCCTCCTACTTGAAATTTCCAAAAAGAAGTGCTTTCATTCCATTTCATTTTGGAAAGTTTACTCAGTGGTGGGATAAGTTGGGAATCAGGATAGAATAAAGTCTTATGTGTGGAATGGCAGACAGGAATAGATTGGTTCCAGTTGTAGATGTTTGTGCACAGGGCTTCACTATCCTAAAAGATCATGTCTGTGATTTCTGCTCCTTTAGAATATCTGAAGTAGGTGATAAATATGATAGATATTTCTTGATGCTTTTTTTTTTTTTTTTCTCGAGATAGGGTTTCTCTGTGTAGCTTTGCGCCTTTCCTGGAACTCACTTGGTAGTCCAGGCTGGACTCGAACTCACAGAGATCCGCCTGGCTCTGCCTCCTGAGTGCTGGGATTAAAGGTGTGTGCCACCACTGCCCGGCACAGGGTTTTATGACTTTTGTAACTATTTGGTTTTTTTTTTTTTCGGAGCTGAGGACCAAACCCAGGGCCTTGCGCTTGCTAGGCAAGCACTCTACCACTGAGCTGAATCCCCAACCCCTCCTTGATGCTTTTAAAATATTGTTATTTTTTAGATGGTCTTGATGTGTAGCCCTGGCTGGCCTTTCTTGCATGTGCCATCCATGCTTGGCTCCCTTGATGTGTTGATTTGGGATTTGGTTGGCTTGACTTTCCTAGAATTTGAGGCAGACTTGGAAGTATTTTGAAAGTGTTTCCTGATCTGTATTTCCATTCCAGTTACCACCTATAAGTTTGTGGCAATGAACCCTTCTCTTCAGTCCTGGCTCATCCCCAGTTCTTGAATTCTGAATATTGCTAGCCTTGTGTCCTTGTCTGATAGGATTCTGAAGTTATCCAGTGAGCCACCAACCACTTCATGACCATCTTTCTTAGTTGAGGCTCAGATATTATGAGTATTTGGTATTTCTAGAAGATAAACTTCATTAGGGAGAACAATATATCAGAGAACATGAAATCCGTAATTCATATATATACAACACACTTATATATATATATATGTATATGTATATATATGTGTGTATATATATATATATATATGTATGTATGTATCTATCAGTTAATAGCATCTGAAAGGTCTTTAGGGTCATTGTCTTCTACAGAGATAGCCATATCCCAAAGTTTGAATTTATGAGTTTGAGCTAAGAGTGACCCTTAATGAGGATTTAAACCTTTGAATTGAAATATACCTGTTGCAGAGATGTGTGTTTGTCCACAGCATTGGGGCTTTCCAGCTCTCACAGACCCTTCAGCGACTCCAGCTGCCAGTCTTGGCATCTTCGAAGTAAGGAGAGGTGAGAATCCTGTTGCATGATCTCGTTTGGTGTCTGACTGTTTGGGTTGGGTGGGTATGTGAGATGGGGGCCGGTGCAGATTGCATTTTTCTGTAGCTTTTTCCAGTTCTGTCATGATTTGCTTTTTTTAAAATCTCCTTAATACTGGGGAATGAACCCAGGACCTTGCAACATGCTAGGCAAGCATGCCACCATTGAACAAAATTCCTAGTCTTTCCTCCCCCCCCCCCTTTTCTCTTTTTAAACTTATATTTGATCTTAACTAATTGACCAGACTGGCCTCGGACTTGTAATGCTCCTGCTTCAGACTCTACCTAGTAGCTGGGATTATAAGCATGGACTACCATGCCCAACCATGATTTCTTCAATAGACACCTCATGAGTACCTTGCCTTTAGGGTAATTGAGTAGAGCTAGAATAGCCCTATATTCTGAGAAATACTCATCTTAATTCAACAGTAAGACCACCTCACATATGGCTTTTGTGATATATTTTGGTTTGATATATTTGTGTCACCTTTGAGTGAATGGTCGCTAGTCTCCAAGGTGAACTTTTGATGATTGCTACCCAGGGATTTGGGAGTCATTTGTTCAATAACTAAGGCCCAAACATTTTGCTAGATGCTGGGATACAGTAGTCAACAAGACTGTCCATGATATCCAAAAGCTTTCAGTTCCATAGGAGAGACCACTAGGAATGCAGCAATTATGATATACCCAATAAGTAAAGTAAGGGACCTAAGTTCTCTGGGACTACAGGAGTGACCTTACCCTGGATTTCTAGACTCTGGGGTGGCTTCCCAGAGGAATCAACCTCCTTCCCTAGAATTAAAGAAACACAGAGGGACCGAGTATCAGACCTTTGTTGAGTTTGAGGAAGTTCAGTGTAATTAAAAGGCTGGTGGGAAATGAAGCAGCAAAGGTGAGCAGAGGCTAGGGCCTTAGAAACTCTAGTTAGATGGTGTGAGGGGGAGCAGAAGGGGGGACATAAAAAAGACTAAAGGTTAGCAAGCTTTTCTAGAAAGGACAGGAGTAGATACTTAGGCTTTGTGACTCTTTTACAACTATACAGCTTGTAGTGAGCAGTTCAGCAGCCATGGATGGTGTGAAAGTGAACATGACTGTGTTCTAGTAAAACTTTATTTATAAAGGTGGCAGCTGGATTTGGCCCATGGACCATAGTTTGCTGATCTCTAGATCAGAACATTAAGAAGCCACTGAAAGATTGTAAAAAGCTCAGGGTGGTGGTATACTCCTGTAATCAGGAGGCTAAGTCAGGAGGATCACTGATTCAAGCCCAGCCTGTGCTACATATCAAAACAGAAAGAAAAAGGAAAAATATGAAGATTATAATTGTGAGGTTTATGTTGTAGAAAGCTTGTTTTGATATTAGTGTGAAGAATGGATTGAAGGGGCAGATAAAACTGGAAGCAGAGAGAACAGTAGAGAGTCTGGGGTAGCATATTCCCCTTATGTGGCAGTTTTGTGGTCCTTAAGGATCAAACTAAATATAATTGAAGTGTGTGTGTGTGTGTGTGTGTGTGTGTGTGTGTGTGTTAGTATTAATTCTCTTTACTAATTTTATGTCTGTCTAATGGCACTTAAAAGGTGTCTATCAGAGAATTTCTTGGAAATGCCAGCCAGCTAGTGTTTCACAGTTTGGGAAAGATAAAGGAAGAGAGTCAGCATACAGTGAATTAAAATGTTTTGAAAACTATCTTCTGTTGAAGGAAGTATGGCCTGAATGGAGCCCTTAAAGGGAATCTTCATTTTAGAGTTCCCAGCTTAATAGCTAGGAACTGTTTGAGTTGTATATATAGAAACTGACATGTGTTCCTAGACTTTCTAGGCAGTTGTCCTTATTCTGTATGTCCTACTTGGTCTCTTCTTTCCTTGCCTGTAGCAGACTGATAACCCATGCCTGATTTTGGAAATGTCTGTCAGATCAGGTGTGATGGTGTGTCTCAGGCAGGTGGCCAATAAATTTGTTTGTTGAGTGTGAGAAGTTGACAGCCAGAATTCCACTTTGCTCCTTCCCTCTTTCTTCCTCTTCCTCTCTGAGCCCCAGTGTACTTCCAGCAATGGAGGGAAGCACAAATTTCTGAGAGTGGTGTTTCTGGGACCTTGGACAAGTCGACTTACCTCTTTTGAGTTTCACTTTGCTGTCTAAAATGGAGATTTGGGATTTAATAGCATTGTTTAAAGGCTTTGATGATGTAGAGGAAGCTCTTAGTAGTGTATTGATACTGGTTTGTTTCTTTTAATTTTTAGACAGGCTCCCAATGTGGCTGGTCTGAAACTCTCTACGTAGACCAGGCTAGCCTTGATCTCATAGAGATCTGTTTGCCTTCGCCTCCCAAGTGTCAGGACTAAAGGCGGGAGCTACTACTAATATTCTGCACAGAATCAGGAAATAGTTGGGTGATATGAGTTTTGGCTTCTTAAGCTTTGTGTCCACACAGTTTTCATTGTGTCCATATGGTAAAAGCTTAGTTAGCCTACAGGAGTCAGTTATAACTAAAGCAAGGCATGATTTTACACGGTGGAAAATTTGCACAGAGTAGGAGTTCTATAGTCCACACCATCAGTAGAGTGAATGGATTAAGCAGCTTCCCAAGATTTACCCATGTTACTAGCCTTCCTCCCTGTTTGGGGTCATTTATTAGTGTTGTCACATTACTGGCCCTGCATCTTTGTAAAGTGCCTCTTGAATGTTTTTGTTACTTTCCCCTCCCACTCAGGGAAATGAGTCATGAGTGGTCTGTTTTGGTTTTCTTGCTACCATGTGAGGAAACCCAGGCAAAAGAAGGTTGTATTGAGTTGCCTAAGATCACAGTGTAAGGTACTGTTGAAGCTAGTGCAGACTTGCCTCCAGATGAAATTGTGCTAGTTGACTGTTTTGATTTCTCTTCCCTTGAGTGAGAGATGCATAGTCGTTGTACAGTTGATGATGCCCCATCCATTCTGCTAGACTTTGTTTGAATCCTGCTTTATTTATTTGGTTCTGTTGGGTTTTAATTGATGATTTTGAGGACTAGATGTGTTGGGAAGCAGATTCCCTTTGGGTTGTTGTTTTTAGCTTCTTCCTCCTTTGGGGGACATTCCTTGGGGAACCTTGGGTTAGGAGGGATTGCTTTGATATGTTCAAAATTGTGCCTTGTGCCCCACAGCTACAGGTAAAATCAAAAGGCAGATAATTTATGGGAGTGTCAGAGCTGGCCGCTGGCACCTCAGAAGGCCATTAGTATGCCTGTTCAGACCCTCTGTGTCCTTGCGATTGATTCCTTTTTGCATGAGTCTGATTTGGGAAGCTGTAGATTTGTGGGCAGTGATTGGATGTGACAGTCCAAACACCGGACCCTAAATTAATCCTTTTAATAGTATTCCTACACCAAGGCAATATTCTCTCTCTCTCTCTCTCTCTCTCTCTCTCTCTCTCTCTCTCTCTCTCTCTCTTTCTCTTTGAGAAATGGCAGAAAGGGAAAGAAGGGATGGAAGGAAGCTGACTAGCTTTGTTTGGTGTGCTTTGGCTGTGCTATGTCTAGCATGTTCTACTTCTAGAGTAGTTGGCATCGTGGCTTTGGCATATTAATTCATTTAGCAAGTCTTTATTTTCTTAATTGTGCCTGATTATGTGCTGGGAGCAAAGAAATGAATAAAATGTAGTTGCTGCTTTTAAGAAACTCTGTTTTCAGATTTCTAAAACTCATGTGCCATTTAGATTAAAACTCGGTGCTCCTCTTTCAAGCTGTGTGAAAATTTGAAATGCATGAAAATGCCTAACAAGAAAACAGTTACAAAATGTGCTTTTTATGCACACACAATGCTTGTTCTTACATCCACATGTATGCAGAGCTCTGCTGCTGCCCTCCATCCTTCCTCATGGAGTCTTTGAAAATTGTTAGTAGCAGAAGAGACAGGTACTTAGTGTGTCACCATAGCATGAGAAGACACTGTCCTACTGGGCTACATGGAAGCCATTAACTTTATCATGGGGTATCAGAGAAATCTACAAAAAGGGCAGGATTTATCTGGGTTTCAAAGAAAGTGTTAATTTGCTGGTGAAAAATAGCTGTGCTTTCCAAAACAGAAGGAGCAGCATTTTTCAAGGCCCAGATTTGTAGAAGGAAATGCCACATTTGGGGACTTGAGCAAGAGCTAACTGGGCCTGTGCCTCTGCTTCCTTTGAGTTTCTCACTCTAAGATGAGAAGAACCACACCTCTGGAATTGTGTGTGTGTGTATGGAAGAGGCTTGGAGATCCTTGTACTGCACTGCAGTTATTTTAATCCAATATGCCCCTAACTATTGCTGCTGCGTTGTGCTCAAGCTAAAGTGTATTTTATTTGTTACTTGTTTAGTTTTTTGAGACAGAGTTTCTCTGTGTAGCTCTGGCTGTCCTGGAGCTCACTCTGTAGACCAGGCTGGCCTTTAGAGATCCACCTGCCTCTGCCTACTGAGGGCTGGGATTAAAGGTGTGCACCACTACCACCCGACTAAAATGTATTTCTTAAAAATAAAATAGACACCTCTCTTTCTCTCTCTCTCCCTCTCTCTCTCTCTCTCTCCCTCTCTCCACACACGCACACACGCACAATTTAGATTTCATTATTGCTTAAGGTTAAGTTATTTTTACTTAAAAATCACACCTTACCTCAAAAGAAGAATTGAAGTTGGTATGAATTATTAGTCCTGTGAAATGGTAAAATCAGTCAAGTAGGGAAATGAGAGCCATTGAACATGGAAGAGGAAAGTAGAGCCCACAAGGAATTGGGTGCCCCGAGCCTCAGTTTCCTCATGTGTAAGAAAGGAATACAGTTACTGTTTTGCATGATTATTAGAGGATTAAGTGAGACAAAAAATGTAGCTTACTAGCACAGTGCCTGGCTTACAATAGGTTTTCAGAAATGGGCATTTTCCTTTCCTCATTCTCATGTGTTGACAATAGTAACTCCCTTTTTTTGAACATGTACTAGTATGGTTGACTTGAACCCAAAGATAG